CAGCACAATTGGAAGAGCGTAGTCAATGTCACTGAACTGTGCATGTAGAAATTTTTGAAATGGTGTATCTTTGGCTATGTGTATTTTCACCAATAAAAAAGGCTAAGAAGGGAGAGGGTTGACATGTTGTGGGGTTGTTAACCAATGTCATAAAACAATGTCTGTACTGACGGTTTCATGAGAAACTATTTGTTCTGTAAGCCTTCACCTGAAGTACAATAAAAAAATTTAAAAAAAAAAATACACATTAAGAAAATGAAAGAAACCAGCACAACTTGTACGAGGAAAGGTCATGGAAGCTCCATGGACACATCCAGACTCCCTGAGGGACTGAACTGCTGGGTGGAGGGCTATGGGGACCATGGTCTCGGGGAACATCTAGCTAAACTGGCATAACACAGTTTATAAAGACAATGTTCTACATTCTACCTCGGTGAATAGCCTCTGCAGTCTTAAAAGCTTATGAGCAGCCATCTAAGATACTCCACTGGTCTCATCCCTTCGGGAGCAAGGGAGAATGAAGAGAACAGGATACAAGGAAAAGATCAGTCCGAAGGACTAGTGGACCACAGCTACCAAGGCCTCCACCAGTCTGAGTCCATTACAGCTAGATGGTGCCCGGCTACCACCACTGACTGCTGTGACCAGGCTCACAACAGAGGTTTCTGGACAGAGCTGGAGAAGGATGTAAAACAAAATTCTAACTCACACACACACAAAAAAAAAAGACCATATTTACTGGCCTAAAGGAGACTGGAGAAACCCCGAGAGTATGGCCCCCAGACACCCTTTTAGCTCAGTGATAAAGTCATTTTCGAGGTTCACCATTCAGCCGGGGAGTGGACAGCCCCATAAAACCAAATGGGACTAACGAAGCACAGCAGTCCAGGGACAAGGGCTAGAAGGCAGAAGGGGACAAGAAAGCTGGTGATAGGGAACCCAAGGTTGAGTAAGGATAGTGTTGATGTGTTGTGAGGTTGTTAACCATTGTCATAGGGCAACACACGTACTGTCAAATGAGAAACTATTTTGTTCTGTAAGCCTTCATCTAAAGTGAGAATAGCAGCACAATTGGAAGAACGTAGTCGATGTCACTGAACTGTGCCTGTAGAAATTTTTGAAATGGTGTACCTTTGGCTATGTATATTTTCACCAAAAAAAAAGAGTCAAGAAGGGAGAGGGTTGACATGTTGTGGGGTTGTTGACCAACGTCATAAAACAATATGTGTACTACTGTTTCATGAGAAACTATTTGTTCTGTAAGCCTTCACCTAAAGTACAATTTAA